TTTTACCCTCAACTTATCCACGGGTCATATCAAAATTCATAATTTTGTCCCTAAAATCTGCCTTTGACTTATACATGAGGTCAACTTATAGTCAAGTATATAATATATCGGGTGTATGTTGGGTACATAACTTTTAAGTGGATGGTGTAGATATCGAAATTGTTAAAGATTTTCTATACCTTGTCTCAGGTATCAGTTAAAATGGAGACTGCAATCAAGAAATCAGAAAAATCCAAAGAATGATGACTTGGAAATGCAGCTATGAAGGAGCTAGATAGGAGCCTCAGGTGTAAATATATATTATTAAATAAAATCAGAAACATCCATACAATGATAATTTTGTTTTCTGGGTATCATTATGAAAACTGGAAAGTGAAGAAAGCTGATAGGGGAAAAAAATCTCATTTCAAATGTGATGCTGGAGGAAAAGTTCTACGGATACCATAGATGCCAAAAAGACAAATAAATAAGTTTGAGAGCAAATCAAACCAGAACTCTCCCTAGTAGACAAAAGCACTAAACTCATGCTTTGAGCATATTATAAGGAAGGGAAATGATGAACTGGTAAGAGCTATAATGCTGGGAAAATTGAAAGGTAATAACATTTGGCATAAACAAAAAGGAACGCCACATTACATAGAGACAATTTGCAGGATCTATTGAAGTCTCTCATTCATAGAGCAACAATTGGCCTTATGATATATAAACCCAACAATGTTAAATGTACCTGTATTTCAGAATATACTATTTACATCTTTGCAGAAAAAATAATAATACATACTTAACAAAAGTTTACATATGAATTGCACCATCCCCCCCAAAAAAACCCACCCATGTTAGTATTAAGTTTCTGAAATATATCATTAATTATGGGCCCTTGATAGACAATTTTGGCTTTTAAAATCTTTTTTGCTAATATGAATGCCATTCACTTTCACATGTTAACACAAGCCACTGGAATTAGATTGTTTATGAAAATTTCCAGAATGTGTGCTAGCCTGTTATAGCAAAAACAACAGAGAATATTGTGGCATCTTACAGATTATTTGGCACCAACTTGAACAGAAAACCTTTGTGGACTGCAGCTCACTCTGTCAGATATATGGAGTGCTAACTGATCAGGCAGATATTTATACAAATATTACAATGGAAGGAGAATAATGGGGAAAGAAATGCTACTTGTGAACATTCATTACTGAATATTACACTATTATAATGTAAGATTATAGAGCAAGTGTGGTATAGTGGTTTCAGTGTTGGACTATGACTCTGGAGACCAGGGTTCAGCTAGGCCATGTAAACTTGCTGGGTGACCTTGGGGAGGTCACATTCGCTCAGCCTCAGAGGATTGCAATGGCAAAGCCTCTCTGAAAAAACCTGCCAAGAAAACCCCATGATAGGTTCACCTTAGGGGTGCCATAAGTTGGAATTGACTTGAAGACACACAACAAGTGTAAGATGGCTGATGATCCTCAAATTGATGCTCAGAACGTGAATCATCCATGATGCATAAACATTCTAGATAAACATTTCCTCTGTAAGTGCATTCACACCCACATGCTCCAACCATAGTATTTTATACTGTAATAATAAATTGAGCAGTAAAGTATTAATGTAGTAGATGTATGGGGATACCAGGATTAACACTGGTTGGTTACTTCCCAATGTTTGCCATACAAAGTAAAGAAAGGAGTTTACTGTTCAAGTTGGCGCTGAAGTTTATACTACTGCTCCTTGAGAGGTAGATGGGAACACATGCTGAAGTTGAGTCTCCTATTGTTAAGGAAGCATAGCCTGTAGTACTTAGATCACACCTTTTACCTTACTTGGGCAATCCGTTGCAAATCCTTGAACACAATAGTAATTAATGGAGACCCTCTTACTTAAACCAGAATGAAAGAGCTTGTAGAAGTTTGAACAGGAAGAGAACAGAAGCTGGTCAAATAACCACCTCTGTACTGGTAAGGCACCTTATATATAAACAGTGCCAATAGAAGAACTTTTTCTTACCTGATGCCCTCCAGATGTTACAGATTTCAGCTCCTAGCATTCCTGATTATTGGCTATGCTGGCTGGGACTGATGGGTGTCCAAAACATCTGGAGGACATTACATTGGAAAATAATCAGACTGAAAAAGCAATGTTCTCCCCTGCCTCTTGCCAAGCTCTTCTGAAGTCTGCATAATAGGAAGAAATACAGGTTGAGCTTTCCCAAGCACAAACCTAGTCCTGGAACCAAAGAACTACATTAGAGTTCCAGATGTTCAAAAGGGTTTTGTACTTCTGTTTGCCTGTATGCCAAATCTCTTTAGAAATTGTGAGAAATTTCCAGAAAACTCTATGATAGAATATGAGAGTCTACAATTCCAAAGGAGTGGGGAACCAGAATCCCATTAGGCACAGCAAAGTAAGCCCTTGGACACACATGTAATAGCTCTTTGTCTCCTGGTTGTAGATTGCAATCTTAATACCACCGTCTATTCAGTCCATTTCATTTTCCTTCTTATCTTACTTTTAGCTCATAATTGCTTTTGCCTCTTATTTTATCTGTTTTCTTTCATATTCTTTTCCTTTCTCTACCTGATTGGGACAGTGCAGAAAGAACAGGTGATCTGTTCTTTTAAACAGTATGTTCTCTTTTGTAACAAAAAATTGTATGAGCTGGCCATGTGGTATATGTCTTTGTTGTATCCCATTTGGTCTACTGTGACATGGGCTAGTCTACACATAAGTGTATTATGTGAATTGCTGTGGATTTTCACACATTTGCATTGAAGCTCAATTGTCTTTGCTTTCCTGCACAAATTCATATCTATTCACTATCTTTCTGCCAAAAATGTGCACCCATGTGAATTCATGTGAAATGGGAGGATGGCCACATGTTTGATAATGTACATCCTCACGGACACTCACAGATACTCTGGTAAAAACCGTGATTCTTTTTTCTGCAGAGTTTGAAGAGTGTCTCAAAAGCCTGAATTCATTTGAATCACATGTGGATCACATGCTACTCAAATAGAATGAGTATTTAAATCATGTAGCTAAAACCATGACCTGTGTGGTTTGGCTTTCAAAAGTACTGTATTTGGAAACTTTGGCTGATTCTGAATAAATGGGAGAGTATGCATCTCCCCTGTTATGGCAGCTTCATTGACTACCAGTCTACTACCTTTTTATTTTCAGGCACAATTCAAGCTGTTGGTTATGGTCTATAAGGCTATATATGACTTGGGTCCAGGCTATGCTATATGAAACACTATTCTCCCATATAAGTTTGCTCAGGCTTTCAGTGAAAAGCTCCGATGCCACCTGCAAAGGAATGTTTTGTGGAAATGGAAGACAATGTTTCCTAGTGTTCTTTCTTTTATTTATCTGTTTTTACTTTATTTTATGTTTGGATTATATTTTATTTCTTTGCTTTTATCCAGGGGTAGGCAACCTTTACCCTTAAGGCCCGAGGGACTTCAGCTCCCAGAATCCCAGGAGCTATTGGCCAACATGGGACTATTGGCCAACATGGCTGAGGCTTCTGGGAGCTGAAGTCCCTCAGCCCTTAAAGGGGAAAGGTTGCCTACCCTGGCTTTTATCCTTGTTCTGTCATCTCTAAGAAATTCAGTTCAGTGTGCGTTTGTGTGTGTGCTGTAGCACTATACTGAGTTCCTATACAGAATGGCACAATCATCTCACCTTCAAGTGGCCTGAAAAGAAGTTCACATTGTCTGGATTGCTTCAAATACACTTGCCCCAAGTCCAATATGTTGTGTCAATTAGCCATGAAAGTATATGTCATGTACTCAAAGATTCATGTTAATGTACCTTGAGAAAAATTGAAGCTAAGTTGCTGATTGTAACTGTGCATTTCCCATTAATTGCAATTACTGATGATAGATTTCCAGCCCTTTCTTCTTACTTATTTCGTCCCATCCAAGGGAGTTTACCTGGCACATAACGTGCATGCACATTAGCAGTCCAGCCCATAAACATTCTGGGTGTATCTCTTTACCTTCTTTAAGTCAAACAGATGAGATTGAATAATTGCTCCAGTGGCAAAGGAATCTCTTTTCTAAAGGTGCTGTGAACTTGTCCATGATAGGTTGCAGATGTTAATAAAACTTGGAAATGTTACTTTTTTGAAGTCCCCCAAAAAAGTCCAGAATGGCCACTCTGGGAACTTTAGTCTAAAACTAACATTCCAAAGCTTTACATTTTACAAATAAGATTAACCACAGAGTGGCAATCAAGCTGAGAGGACAGCAAGAGGTTAGTAGCAAAACAATGACTGTGGGTTAAGTCAATCTTTTGGAGAATAAGAAATATAAAATGCAAGTATAACCTATAGAGAGGGAAGGAAACTTGCTTCTTAAATTAGGAGTGGACAGACCTCAAGTATCCAAGAGTTACTGCTTTGTTTTATTGTGTTTTTAAAACCTTGAAGTGCACCAGTCAGTGCACTGTGCAAAACAGTGACTTGGGTGAAAGGATACCTGATAAGAATTAAAGAACAAAATGACAGTACTCAGCACATAATTTGCAGCTAGGGTTAGAAGCAATAAACCTCTTCACCCATGGATCCACTTCAGGTCTGTTTTCCAACATTCTTTTTCATCGATCTAATTTTGGGGTAGTGCCATTTTAGTTGTTATGGTTGTTAGGCTACTGGGAGCCAGAAACCCTTAGCAATCTACTGAAGATCACCTGGAGTAGATCTCAATCTTCCTTCTCCCCACCCCAGACTTAAAGGAACCACACAACAGTAATTATCAATGAAAGCCAAACGAAAAAAAGTAATGATTTCATTGTGTGACCCACTAAAAAAATATGTTGGGACACATGGCTTGAAAAACCACTATTCTAAAAGCAGTTGAAGACCTATCTTAGTTTTAAGAGTTATAAATGTGAGTAAAGAATGATCGAGAAGAAACCTCCTAAATTTCTGTCCTAGTAATGTTCAAAATATGTATGCATTATGTATATGAAGTACTATACCCCTGTCTTTGAAAGCCAGTGTGGTGTAGTGGTTTGAATGTTGGACTATGGCTCTGGAGATCAGGGTTTGATTCCTTGCTTAGCCATGGAAACCCACTGGGTGACCTTGGGAGTGTCACACTCTCAGCCCCAGAAAACCTTAGGGTTGCCATAAGCCAATTCACCTGAAGGCACAAAACAACAATAATACCCCAGTCTTCCATGTTCAGTCAGCATAGTAAGCCATAAGCTCTCACAGATACTTTAGATAGATTTTAGTGGGTCTTCTTAAGGACGATTCAGTCTGGTGCAATTCACAATTAGTATCAGCCACCAACCATTTGGTTTCCTAGTGGGATTAATGGTATGTCCATTTCCCCGATAATGTATTGGCCCTCAAGGGAACCACCAATTTCAGAGGCTAACAGAATAATGCTCAGTCTTGTCTTTTTTTACTTGAAGTCTGTGAAACTACATCAGGCTTGAGCATCATGATAGATCCCCTAAAACTGGCCCATAAAAAAGTAAAAAGTTGCTTTCTGTGGAACTGAAAAGGAAAGCCTCCTACACCAAAATGAATAAAATAAAACTCACTGTAGACTTAATGTTTATCACCTGTGCTCCTCTCACTGGTTCTGAAAAAGAACAGATTTACATGTTTTGTTTTGTTTTTAAAGAAAAGGATCTGGAGCAGTTGTGTGCTGCAAGCAGTCATTTTTCTTGCAGGAGAGTTTATTTTGGAATGTGGTTGACAGGGTTTTCTCTCTCCCTCTCTCTCTCTCTCTTTTAGACCCTGAAGGAGGCATCTACATTCATTCAAAATAAAGAATCCCAGATCCTGGACTCCACAGAGAAGAAGATGTCAGAAAACACAGTGTAAAAAGTGCAATTATGATGATTGAATTGCCTGAGGACAGTCCCTGTATGAACTGGATACATTCCACTGTTGCTAAACATTGTATAGTCTGTTCATGTTTTAAAGTGTTTGTTTTGCCGTGGGTATTGATAGTTTCTTACATATGGGACAAACACCCCTAAGATGCCATCAATGCATCTGATAAGGCTTTGAGGCAACATATAGAAAATCATACCTCTGTAATAGGTATTAGTACCAGGGTTTATGAGCCTCAGGCTATCCTTACACCTATCCGTAAAGTGTCTTGTAGCATATACACACATGGGGGTGAGTGGGTTGATCGCTTTCAGGTACCTTCTACACTATAGTACACAAAAAAGGAAAGAGCAGTGCTGGCACGTGAAACTGAACATTTATCTCTACCTGCTTTTCTCAGGCATTCATTTCCATATTTCAGTCATTGCATGAAATTACTCAACTAGTCGTGTGGGAAGCTCTCTCATTGAGGCATGTCTTGAGAATCTGCAGTTCATAAAATATGATTTCAAAATAATTCCAGAAGAATTCAGGTTTCATTTGTTTTTGAGAGCAAGTTTCTAGTCCAGATTATTCGAGGTGATAATTGAATCATTACCAGTGTGTTCAAAAGACTTAGGGGGGTTGCAGACTGCCAGAAATAGTGCAAATTGAGTCCACCTTTAGGGTTAGGATTAGGGTTAGGGAATCATGGGAACTGTATTTTATTGTGGCACCAGAGCTCTCTGACAGAGAAGGCTTGCTGTCTCAGAAAAAACCAACAACAATTCCCATGATTCCCTAGCACTAACCCTAACCCTAACCCTTAAAGCTGACTCAATTTGCACTATTTCTGGCAGTCTGCAACCCCCCCCCCCCTTAGAAATGAGAAGAGGATAGACGTGTTGAGGAGCTTTCTCCATGGCTGCACTTGAAAGTATATAGGAAGGTTTTTTTTATAGTTTCATACAAGAAAATAATGCTTGGTTAGCATGAATAAGGCACACATGGAGCTGCCTCTTTGCACTCATGAGTCTGACCAACATGCGATGATTTCCTCAGGGTGCTCACAGAATCTTCCTTGTTTGTGAAACCTTAGTAGAATCTACATGACGGCATTCATTCGTTGATTCATTCATTCATTCGTTGATTCATTCATTCATTCAGTTTTTACCTCACCTTTCTCCTGCCAAGGGATCAAAACTTAATTACAAAATTTAAAATAAAAAGCTTAAAAATGTACTATACAAAAAGTTTAAAAGCAAGCATCGGTTCTGTTGAAAACACAAAGTTAAAGACAGTTTTAAAATACACTTACAACACAATTAAAAACTTAGAGCATGCCATTTTAAACAATATTCAGCCATATGATTAAAATCAATCAAATGCCTGGTGAAAAAAGATCAGGGAAGGAGCTAACCAGACCTCCATTGACTAGGAGCAGCCACTGAGAAGGCGCTCTCTCATGTCCTCACAAACTGTTGCCTATGAAGCATGTTCTGAGCTTCTCTTGAATCTGCTTCAGATTATTTTTGTCAGGATCAGATCCTGGTATGCCACACCAGTATTTTCAGTCCCACTCTTAACTGATCTTGTGTACCACCCACGCGTGTAAAATCAAAACAAAGGGGCATGCCAGTAGCATGAAATCCAGTATTGTCTTGGTTGCAAGAAACAAGATGAGCTCCAGGATTTTTTTTTAACTCTCCCATGTGAGCTCATGTTCCCTTTACCAGGAAATATTTATATTTGTCTATGTTGCATATTTGCAAATTCAAATACCCTGTCAAATTGTTCATTTGTAATGCCTTAACTCCGTGTTGTTTATGCATGCTGCTCTGCATTATCCCTGTTTTACACAGTTCACACAATACTGGTCTTCTTAGAAATAAGTCCTATTCAGAATAAACTACAGTGGCCTTAGTTTTCATTGTCTTTGTATCTGCTTGTGGGTTTGAGGCTTTACACACAGCAGAATGAAATGGTAGGCTCCTGAAGCAGTAAAGTGGGTTATAGCAATTTGTAATGCAACTATGAGAGACCATTTTGGTTATTCTTTTTAAAAAGAGCCATTAGAGAAATTCTAGGGGGGGTTGCAGACTGCCAGAAATAGTGTGAATTGAGTCCACTTTTAGGGTTAGGGTTAGTGCTAGGGAATCATGGGAATTGTTATTTTTCTAAGACATTGACCCTTCTCTGTCAGAGAGCTCTGGTGCCACAATAAAATACAGTTCCCATGATTCCCTAACCCTAACCCTAAAAGTGGACTCAATTTGCACTATTTCTGGCAGTCTGCAACCCCCCTAGGTGAACCTGTGGTGCTTGGTCTCTATTTGTGTCTATCTGTTGCCATTCCCATCTCTACCCCCACAGATGGTTATTTTTCCAAAATACAATTCCCCATCTGTAGTCTGAAGACAGTAGTGTGAGCAAATGTGGTGTAGTGGTTTGAGCACTGGACTGTGACTATGGAGACCATGGTTCGAATCCTAGCTCACTCATGTAAACCCACTGGGTGACCTTGGGCAAGTCACACTCTCCTGGCCTCAGAGGATGGCAATGGCAAAGTTCCTTTGAAGAAACTTGTCAAGAACACCACACAATAGGGTCTCTATAAGTCGAAAATGACTTGAAGACACACAACAAATGTAAGATTGCTCATGATCCTCAAATCAAATCTTGTGATAGGGTCACCATAAGTTGGAAATGAATGCATACAGCAGCAACAAAAGTCTGAAGACAGGACTCATCCATTTTATTTGAGCCTCATGCCAAAACAGAACTTTCTCGCCAGCTTCTCCAAGGCTACAGACCTCCCTACCAAAAGAGACTAGACCAGTGCTACTCAGGCTATCTGATATGGAGTTGGGAAACACTTGTTTTTCCCTAATTTCCAAAGAAGTGGTACCATATTTCTTCCCATTGTCTACATTTCTGTCTTTTTTTTTCCTGGGGAAACTTTCTGTGAACCAGCTGCTGATCGCTCATGGATGGGCACTGGTCCAGAGACTGCCATTTTGAGTACCACTGGACTAGATTATCCCCTCCTGTGGTCCTTCTCTTTTTTTATTCTGGCAGGCCTTTTGTAGCCAATTGGTTTATGAGGAAAATGCATTTCACTTATATTTTTTCATGCTTCCTGATTTTTATTTAATTTTAGTAATATCTGGACTTGGTTTGTGTTTCTGTTAGATTTTTTATTCAGTCTTATTGTGAACTATCATCAGTCCTGTTTTGGAGCAAAAGGCAGGATATAAAACCAACCAATACTAAATAAATAAACCCTATAAAGCAGTCAGTATTATTGTTGCCATATTGTGGATGGAAAGTGAAAGAGAGCAGTTTGCCTAAGGCTACCAAGTGTTGGAAGCATTACATTTATTTTATTTTTTACTAAAACTCCCTCAGAGAGATTCTAGCAGTCCAAAAAAGTAGTGTTTGCACATTCTGAAGCCACTTAATGAGATCCTGACAGGAACACTGTTTTAAGAAATGGCTTCCTGTTCTGAAGTTTTGTCTTTTACCTACACTACTTTGAGGATCTGTTGTTCTTCCTATTTCAAGAATAAACTATGGGACAGAAAATGTAGATTTTACACAGAACCAGAGATGAGAAGGGCCTAAATATCCTAAAGGTACCAGATCCCACCTGATATTGGAAGCTCAGGAGGGTCAGCCCTGGTTAGCACTTGGATGGCAGACCACCAATGAATACCATGTGCTGTAGGGAATATTTCAGAGGAACTGGCAAAACCACCTCTGTGTATTCCTTGCCTAAGAAAACCCTATGAAATTCATGGGGTTGGCGAAGTTGACAGGCAATCTGATGGTGTATGCACACACACACAAAGACAGTGCTGAGATGGAAGTCAGACACTCTCAAAAACTCAGTGCCATGGTGCCAGTAAGGCAGATCTGTCAGCAGGAGATTGTAAGTGTCATGATTCACTGCCTAGAAGAGCTCTGAGGAGGCAAAATGAAGGCATCATTTACAAGTAAGAATTTTCTGCTCTACAAAATTTTCCTTCAGACCCCAAATTTCTCACATTGTAGCAACTGAAAACTTTAATTGAGCATTCAGAATTATAGTTTAGGTATCCAAAAGAAAAGGGGCACGCAGAGTTACCAAGAGAATGCAAACACAGCAAAGAGTTCAAAGTATTTATGATTATCAATACGGTCTCTCATTTAGCAATACTAAAAAGTTGGAAACTGAAGGAAAATGTTGTTGGGAGT